TGTTTAATTAAACAAAATGTTTATATGTTTTTTCATTTAACTCTTCTTTAATAAATGTTTATAACGTTACTTTAACATCTAATGTCATTAGCAACGTTTATTATTTAACAATGCACGGTTATGCGTGTAACATTCTGAGAGTCAGAAATTGAATAAGTTTTTATAAAAAGCATTACACGTTTGGTAAGAGTAGTGTTAACCCTTGCCTTACATTATCGTAACAGACTAGCGGTGAAGATTTCAAACAAAATATAATAAACATAAACTTTTTTTACCCCTTTTTACCAAATTTTAAGCCTCTACCCCCACTATTACGGTAGCTACAAGGTAAAATGCTATACACAGTTTAAGCTGGATCTTTTATGTTCTGCTTGATAAAAAAATTATGAAAAAGGTCATAATTATTCTAGTTGTAGATGTGCATTTCCGGGAATTGTAGAACAATTTGATGACTGTAAAATATTATAATAAAGAAACAATAAATACTCAGTGATTCTAGTGTTAATATAAGCATAGAGTATTACTCACTTGGGAAGTTCAACGGTGACAACACCTTTCGGATGGATCTCTATTGTTTTGCCCCACAATTTTAACGACGGGTGTATGCTGCCGTGGAAGAGGAAGTCCTCGCTCTCTGCGTGGAAGGCGGACACTGGCGGGTGATGCGACACTTGCTCGCAGACTATTCTAAAGTAAGAATTGTATTGTTATTTAGTATTATTAGCTTGCGGATTTGTATGGAATTATGGGAAATTGTTGAATTTTAGAATTATTTAAAATGCACACGGCACAAGAAAATATATGGAATATCCAAAAGGTTTGAATATTACAAGAACATTAGTTCGTCCCTTGTCGCTTGAATGACCGCCGCAAGAATTTGTTCACAGCCGTTAACTCGACCCGAAAGTCTTTGAGAAATGTGCATACAAGTCGATGGTACTTTGATGAAATTGATAAAGCTAAGGGCAAGAAATTGTTTCGGCTTGAAGTTAATTATTCTGTTAGAACTGTGAAGTACTACTTAAATTTGTAGTTATTTTTTACATTTGTACAATTAATTGTAGACAATTATGACAATTTGTAGAATTATAGTGATCTAATTATTATTTATAAGTTCTTGAGAAAGAGAAACCATTCGTGAAATTGAATTCTTGAATTCATTAAATACTATTACAACGTTAACAATAATATTAATATAATTCATTACTATTAATATTTTATTCCTCATTTCATACAAACTTCATTCGTTCCCCAAAACAATTAGTTACAAGCCAAAATTTTAAACCAAGCAACAATCAATTTTATATTTAAATTCATATTTCAACCGACCTTCAGTTAAAGAAAAGTAAAAACATTCTAAATCATTTTTCTTTTAAGCATTTACTAAACATAATTAAATAGTTTAAATAATTATTCTATTATCAAATTTAAATGAAAAAGAAGGTACCATACAATTCCTAATAAAATACAAATGCAGTTCTAAACGAATGCAGCTTTTGCACCTGACCCAATATTTTCGTCACAGTTTTCTTACATCAACCTAGCTTAAAAGTATTCTCCTCCAGCTTCTCATTTGCTTTGTCTATACAGAGATACACGGATGTATGGCACTTAACTGCAAACATGCGCGCGCGCGCACGAGCAAGCGCGATAAACAATGGCGCAACGTGCAAACACGTTGCACTACTACATTCTCGTAACGTCAACTTCCAGAAACAAGGTCCATTAGTAAGCTTCGCATAAAATTGTTTAGTACTGACTTCATCCAAGATGTTAACCATTTTATAGCATGTTTACATCTGTTTCTTCCAGAAAAACCTTTCCAATCAGTGAATGACTTCTTTATTAGGCAATTATGGACTATAACTATAGGACATAGAAATTTGATGACCATGGGCTAGCGATAATAGAGTGTTTACATTGTTTGAAGAGCTATAAATTTAGGTTATCCGTATAACCCTTATAATGTTGCAATTTATTAATATTCAACCCTTGGCCCTTCGATTCAATTTTGCAACTACACTTGTTGAAACGATTTATCGTTAATAATTTGCTAAAAAAATAAAAGATTCTATGCTTTCTATGCCTCAAGTTATTCTAAGCTATATAAATTAATAACAATGAAAATAATGTTCCATTTGAACTAAATTAACAGCTTTTAAATTGTTTCCTGGTAAAAATTGATCTAAACACTTTATGAATATTTTGTATATAAATAAAGAGGAGATATGTTTATATATAAATTTTATATTGAAATTAAGAGAAACATCGAAAATTTACGTAATAAATATTAAATGTTACGCAAAAAGTATATAAACAAATGTGTAAATCACTGTAGATAACTCTATACAATTGAAACATTTTATGCACATATTAAACGTCCTATAAATTGATGAATACTATTAACGAACCAATAACAATTCGAATACTTGAATAATTACCGGAAGCCCTCACGTTCTAACTCGTACGTCTCTCCTAGTATAGGATTGAAGGGTTTGCCAAGTCTCTTCCAATTTGAAGCCAAAGCGCTGACAGCGAAAGCAGCAATATACTGAAACATTATAAAGTGTAATAAAGATTTTACTGTGTCTTTCAGTGAAACCGTACATCTTTTATATAATATGCAGTGAATCACATACTTCATATATTCGTTAATGAGAATGTAAGTTCGTTTAAACCTCTGTTATATGTTTATAAGTATACGAAATTGATCTATATATACATACAATTTTATATAGCTTCAATAGTTTAAATAAATTATATTAAGTGGCTCAGAGTAATAGTAGCCTAACTATTCTAGAATTCTCGGAAAAAAGGCATTTGTAAAATATTCTTGCATCAATTAAACAGTAATATTACAATATTATTAATAATATTAATCATTATTAATTATCAATATTACTAATTTTAATATTAATATTCAATTAATCTAAGAACGTTTCATAACGGTTTTCTTCTTGAAAACAAAAAAATAGGAGTTAGAATATTATTCTGAGCAACTCGTATATAAATATATATACATGACATATAGATCTAAACCCAACGTACAAAACTAAAAAATTAAAAGTCACTTATTACACGTATGCATTAAATAAGAAATCGAAGCTCACTTGTAACCTTTCCACGGGGGTTTCCTCTTGAGCCGCTTGCTTCAGCAATTTAGCGTACTCCATGTACTCAGCGACGCGTTGGAGAAAGGATAGCGGTTCACTGAAGATGACCGGCATGGTGAATTTGCTTAGATCTTTGCCCAGCGATAACGCTGAACAGATATTCACTTCTGAATGCCCGGGAACTGGTAACGTTGTTCTGGAAAAGAATACAAAAATAAAACGGCGAAAAGTAAAAATCAATAGGTCCATGCACACTTGACATAGAAATTGTATCTCTCAATTTTATCTAAAAGTCTTCTTTAAATATTTTAATTAAATCATTCCATTTTAATGTGGATGCATGACGATGAATTGAACCAAATACATTGAATAAAATTGTATGCAGAACTATATCCCTTTTCACTAAAATGTACGTCTATGTTAATTTTCATGCACTGAACATGTCTTGATCTCAAAGGGCTAGAACCTTGATATGAATACGTTATGTAATACTGCCGGTAAAATGTGTGGGAGCAGACCTTATTATCGGATCGTGGATATTTTGTGCACTTGAAATGTATATTTTATTTGTAACTTGATAGATGTCTCAATAAAAAAAGCTGTTTAATTCAAAGTTTTGTAAATTAATCTGTAAAAGTCTGTGTTTACATAAATGTCAAGAATTCACTTATAATTAACGTTTTAATTACCAAAATTGTCATCGTGTGATTTACATGATAAAGTACTCTCTGAAGTTTCACCTATGATAATTACACGTATTTACATGTACAATTATGCGCATAATACCTATATTGAAACATTGTATAACGATTAATGATACTTAATAAAGCTTGTGAGGTTCGTTTAACAATTTCATTCTCCTTTCAACGTAATTTTGTAGTACAGATATTCACGATGCAGAATCTGCAACATAGATAACCGGTTAATAAAAGTGAAAAATATGTCTCTATGAAGCCTTGAGGATCGAGACTTATTAAACTACATTTGAATATATTCTTGCAAGTCTTCTCACTTCAACGTTATTGTTATATATCCGATAAAGTTCTGTTTAAAAAGAAATTTCTTTCCATTCCTTATAGTAAACATTTCCGTTCTACTTAGCGTACATTAGTAATATTCGTAATAGTTCAATGAAAGTAATAACAAATGTAACAAAAATACATTATTTTTACCTTAACAACAATTCAACAATAATCAGACAATCGCTCAAACAATACATCCGATAACGACGATGCGCTACTCTCATAAATACATACACACACAGCGCATCGAGGAATCAAAGCATTTCATCTTCATTTAACGGTGATATTCCCACCAATAATTACGTTGGTCCGAGACTCCTCGCCGGCGGCAACAGCGTATTCCATTCATCCTCGCCGTATTAAAACCCTAACGCAGCGAAATACCCGCAAAATTGAACTGTGACCTTCAAAACCGGACACAGTCGCAATCCTAAACACGTCCATGTCAAAGCAACAGACAGAACAATCGATTGCCCTACAAAGCAGCCGTTCTAGCAAACAACGCTAAATCGAAATCAATAAACCAGTCAGGATCCTTTCCAGCATTCGCAATTACGCCATTTACGCCACCAACTCATCCTCATCAAGCCAACACACCACATAGCTAAAAAACAACCAGTCAACAAGACCATCCAATCATCAATCCATCAACCGGCGGTGTCTCCAGGCTTAGCTAATCGACTCAGCCTACCAGGCCAGCGGCCCCAGAGGAAAGGAAGAATAATAGAAAGCTACCCCTAAACACTCACGCACCTGTACTGTCTCTGTGTCGTGTCGTTGGCCATTATACGAGCCTGTCGTGGGTATCGAGCGGCCTTTTGTCCGGTTCGGAAGCGGCCTGATCACAGAATGAAACTTGCCACGTTCTAGCCCCCGGTTGACGATGCTCCGACGTTCAACGACATCCGACGATTACACGGATCGAAGACGATCGGGACGTCGGGTCGCACGCCGCATCGTTTCCTATCCTCTAGTGGCTCTAACTTCGCACGTACACACACGCGAGTGGCGAACAACGGGGTACAAAGAACCGACGCCGAGCGAAGAGGGGGTTGGCCGGGCGGAAGAGGGTGAACGTACAAAGACGTCCTCTCGGTCTCAGAGCGATCGCACTCGTCGTTATCACCGCGTCATCGCGATTACGTTAACCGTCGGTCCCGACCGGAGATTGATCGCCGCGAAAGATTGCGTCGCGAGCCACGGGATCATTCAATGACGGCCGCCGGCGGGTTTGCATCGGTTGCGCAAACTTGCGATCAGCTGTACACACGGCGACTGCACACGCGTTGGGCATGCGGGCGTGCCGCGAGCCTCCGGCGCACCCTCTTGTCGGCTCGCAGCGTCCTCCTCGCGCCAGGTGCCCCTCTCGCTCTGCCTTCCCGCGCGCACCGGTCGCCAGAAAATATCAATAAATTCGAGCATGGTTATTGTAGGCCGCGAGACGCCCGTGCCGTTGCCCGCGATCCTCTATTCGTTGCATCCCCAGCCACACGCATGTGCAGCTACGACTGTGACCGTTCGAACGATGGGATTTAAATCCTTTTTGCCGGCTTTTCGAGAATGTTTTTCCGTGGCTGCTGGTGTTCCATTGATACTGCCGGGGGTTGGAAACAGTCATATCGGTTTCAGGTTCTTGATACTGTTATAGAGAACTGGATTAAAGATATAATTGTTATTTGGTATGTTGGTTTCGGTTATGGTTCTTCGGAATCGATATTATTTTGGTTGTACGTCGATTCTGTGAATGTTTTTTGTCAGTTTAGAAAGAAATGCAGAATTGAAGAACAACAGTTACAGAATCTATATATGCTAAATGAAATATTGGACAAATTAAATTGGTAGAAGTCAACTTGTAAATACTATTCCATGTTTTTCATTTGAAATGGCAATGTGAATAACTTTAATTTCAGTTTCTTTGTATAAAGTGGAAGACTGTGATTATTACAAATATGTGCAGTTGGTAGGGACAATGTTAAATGAATCAGTATCGATCTTTCACTTTCATACACTTCCATGGGGAGAATGTATGATTAACTTCTTCATTTTAGAAGTTTCTAATTACTACAGGAAGAATATCTGATCGTGAAACTGTTTATTAGAGATTGATAGGAATATTTCGGTAATGGGAAAAGATTTATCTCCTTTATTTGCTGTTTATCTTTGTAACGTCGTCGCAAATGTTGGTTGCACTGAATTTTGGCACGCGTTTAACCTTCGACTGAGAAATGGCCATTCTGACCCATAATTGAGTTTCTGTTGTGCGCAGGTTTCAAAAACGGAATGTACATTCTGCTTTATAGTTTTAATTGTACGCGTTACAGCAACACGTGTGCATAATTGCATAAGTAAATAAATAATTAAGAAAATCTATAAAAATTATAAAATTGTAAAATTATAAAAATATTATTGCTGTGTCATAATTATCGTCTTCTACAGGAAGCACTTAATGAGGGTTTGAACCGATTTAAAAATGAAATAAATCATTGAAATAATCTATCGCGATAAGTCTGTACCTCTTCTGATGATATAGAAAAATAATGAACTGTCAATAGTATTGAGACTTCTCCACGATCAAGTTTATCACACAAGTCCGAATAATCGTTTTTGAAAATATTAAAAACATTATTGGAATGAAATAATTAAAAAATAAATAATTTATTAGTGCTCTACAAACTCCTGATGAAACCAGCGCAATAAGTAACTGCAATATAACCACGTGATAGCCACAACTGCAATTATTTTATATAACTACTAACCATTTTTATTATGGAGTTCGATAAACGACATTTATATAAAGTTCTTCAATTACTAATACAACGAGTATTCAAACAATACATTCAAACAAACATTTAACCATTGTGTTCAGATAAAAACTTAATGCTAATAATGTACCATTTCATTTTCACATATGTAAGTTCGAAAACGAAATAAACTCTGTAACTAATAAAATGATAATTACCTTTATATTTATCATTGATAGAAATGCTAAAACATCTTTATTAATACCTTTGAAATATTATACTTTCACTGATTTAAAAGAAAATATAATGTTTTACCACACCTGGGTCAAGTGTCCCTAATGTACGTAGTTATAAAATTGATGAACCGTGTACCAATGAAATAATTACCTTGTCAGAACCAGGATCGCGTAACACTAATTTAATTATGAACCCTTACGATGCATCATGTAATGGACTGCCGCGCCAAAGTGAGTAACAGGCTTTCTCTTGGTCTCGATGCGCCTCCTGCAAATATCCTTTGTGCTCCGTGGGACAATAGCGCTAGATGCAGTTCTTATCTAGGTTTCACGAGTGCACAAATGGTGCTCGCAGATAGAAATAAATGAAGAATTTAATTAATCTATTTCTCTTGACATCACCGTAATTTGGTAACGCTGCATGAAAAAATTAAGTTCTGTGCGAAGAAGTCGAAAAAATATTTATCAGTCGTTTGATGCTTGTGTAATGTTGCACAATGGTCTGGCGAGATTATGATTACTCTATAAACGTATTACATTCATTCGTATCAGTAAGGATAAGTCAACTGTCGTGTGTTTCAATTGCGGAATGAGACGAAATGATCGATCTTGGGATTAGATTTATTGAATAAATATTCTATGGATCAGTAGAAATAAAACAGTTTTAAAAGTACTGCGAAATAAAATATTGTTAAATTGTTATCGAATAAGGGTTTTATAACTTTGTTTATGTGTTAAATAATATTTAAAAATAACACACTGTAATTTCTGAGTAATAAGAGAAATAAGAAAAAAATGTTTCGGAAAAAACGTGTTAATACACGGAAATTCACTAAATATGCGACTTCTTTGGAACTAAGGAAAAACTATCACCGATATTAACATAATTCTGGTATGTAAATATTTTATTCTTAATATCTTTTTATCATACACGAACAGTGCTATTTTTAATATAAAAGTCTCTGAAAAAAGGTAAAAAGTTGTAACTACTTCGTAATTAAAATGATACTATTTGAGCACTTATTGCTTATTAAATTCTTGTTCAACTATCCATAATTGTATATTTAAGGAAATAACAAATTCACCAAAAGTGAATGTTGGTGTCATCTAGCGGTAAGTTATTAAACTACACAAGAACCTTACACAGTATATCATAAATGGTAAAGTAAGAGCTTTAGAATCATTTATTATATATAGTTTTTCTATATTACAAAAACTGGATAGTAATAAAAATGAAATTATGTCATAAAAAAGTGATTAATAATTTAGAAACTACATAGAAAATTTCGAATTATATTTCTTCCGTAAATGTTTAATTATTGCCAATTATTTTATGGATTCTTACTATATTCAAAGTATCATACATTATGAATACTCAATTTTTACTGAAACTGTATATAATTTACTTGCATAATATAATCGACGAATATCTTATCCTGTTTCGAACAATTTATTTTTATATCTGAAAAAACCAGAACTACTGTCCCATACATATTTAGAAAATTATTTTTCACGAAATTTTTAATCATTAATTCGTAAAGTGCATACTTTGTAACTTGAATAAATACTGTCTAATAATTTATCTCGCTTTCGAGCTCAAACAAATTAGCTACATTAGTTACATTATTTTCTGTATATTTTAATTATACACCGGAATAATGAACATACCAAATAGTACACAAGTAAAATAACTCTTTCCAACATCCACGAAAAACGTAAATATTGTCTACCTGTCGATGATTGCATATTTTACATTTAAATTACAAAATTATCGCAGCCAATTAGCCTACCATGATTCTTTTATAGAAAATATTTGAATAACGATAATATATATAAATAGTTATAATAAAAACAAAATATTTTCATCAACCTCCTCCACCCCTGAATCTATGTACTAATACTACCGCAGTTGAAATTAGTCCCTCGGTGGATGTCTCTTTTCTTAAGACTAAATCTGATTGAAGAAGTATACAAATATAAAAAGTCGTATTCGAAAGAATTATACGGAAGAATTACAAGAAAGATTTATATCAAAGTATTATAAGAAATAAGGAATCCCTCGGCGGATGATTCCATGTCTCCTTCTTTGAATCTGAAACTGTCTACATAAAGAAACATACAAGTATAAACAGTAACATAAGAAACAAATATGAGATAGAATTATAAGCTAGAATTATGAAATAAAATTACAAGGAAGAGTTATAAGGAAAAAATAATTAGAAATAAGGAATCCTACGGTGGATGGTCGATGACCTCTTCCTTGAAATTAAGTTTAACGCAGCCCTTGCCATTAAAATTGAATTCTACTTTACTATTATCAATCATTACGTTCCAAAATGAAAACGTACATACATGAAAATCAGATTGACTATAGTTGCTTATTACTGATCTACCAATTAACAAAAGGAATCGCAAAAGGAAGAAAAGAACCCTCACGAACTGTTTCCAGTACGTAATAGTAGGTTGCAGGCACGGGTTCGGATAATAAGGGTTCATCGACGTGTCCGTCAAACGAGGCACTCAGACGAAACCCGCACCGGATAAATGGAATCGTATCGCATGTATCTATATCAGAATAAGAATGAACCGAATCTCTATTGATTCACCTGGAAACCAAATCGATATCCGTACGAGGCACAGGGGCTCACTTCGTTACAGATCGGGCAACTTTCGTCGGATCAACGGAGAGACGAGCCGCATTCGTCGGTCGTTTCTTCACGCGAGCTGAATCCACACGATTGAGAAATTCGTCAGTCCGTGGATCGTGACTCCGGCGACCGTCCCGAGCTTCGTTCGAGACTTGGGTTACCGAATCTTTCGTTGATCATGCGGGAATAAATTTCACTGAGTAGACGCGACGCGAAAAGAAATTTCCGTTTAGGACTTCAAAAAATTCGAGAGGTAAGGTATGTATTATGGAATATTTTTATTAATTGACAGCCACGTTAATTTTTTGATGTATATGAACTGTGATAATTTGTTAAGTATAGAAAATGAAAGTGAAAATTAAGCAATTTTATTAGTTTTTAAATGATTAATATCTTCATTTTATTTGCTCCGTTCATTACCATTTCACGTTTTTAGTGTTGTACATATGGTTTACTGGAAATGGACCGTTTGAATGGTCTTTGGTAATATTTATCAATTTGTTAATTAACTAGTAATTACATTTGTCGTATGTTTTTGGATGAATATTTATTAATATATTTAATAAACTGTTGGTGTTTCTGAGAATTACAATTCAAAACATTAATATATGTTTCTAACAATTAAATGGAATATTAGATTATAATTTTAATACATTCAAAATAAAATGAAGTATTTATTTCATTATTTTTTTCACTTTTTCGTAAAATTTTAATTCGGCAACATTAATGCAGTTAAAATTATTAAATTAATATTTGAATTAATTTTATATATCGTACTGTATTAAAAAATTAATCATACAGCATAATTTCTTCTACGCTTTAATTGACAGCAAATCGGGTCTACCCTATATCTATTAAAGTTTTTTCTGTACAAGTGCCAGAACAAACTTTCTATGTAGTTGCGGATGTTATGCGGAATTTGAGTTTTTAATACAATGCAAAAAGCTATATGTAAAGCAAGAACATTATTCGCACATTAACTGCTTCATTGCATTAAGAACAGAATATGAACTTACTATACTTTATTAAAATTTATATTTTATAGTTTTATAAAATGCTACAAATTCATAAAATCCAAAATCCATACATATCTTATAATTAGATGCAGATTTTTATATACTAATTAATAGAAATAAAAATTGAAATAACATTTCTTTTTTTTATTAAGGATTTTATCATACTCTAAAGAAAATAAAAATATCAGAAGACTTTTTTGTCTATATTCTTATACTGTACTTTAGAAATCGAACATATTATGAATATATGCTTAGTAATGCAATTATAATACAACCCATTTTGAGCAATCCCTTGTACGATACGAAATATTCTCATGGGTCAAAAGAGGCCACCTGTATATTGAATAATAATATTAAATGAATATTAAATAATTTAATATTAATTTCAAAATTAGTACTTTTAAATTAATTAAAACATTAACATTAAACTATTTACTTGAAATAATGGAATCAATAGTCGCGTATCTCTTCACAGTTCTGTGTCACGATGATCGTTCAAACATCGGAAGAAAATAAAACAAACGAGATAGGGGAAATCTACTCTAAAAATGACGAAGAGCAACAGGAAGAGATCCTATCCATATCAAGCCCTGAAATGGAGAAGAAAAAACGTCCAAGGAAGTACCTCACAAAGCACATGAAACTCTACCCAGAATTGTACAGAAGCGACGTGTCGATTCACCCTAGTTACACGGGTCTTAAAAATTTCCCTTAGTAAGGATCATTTAATACTCCAAATAAATAACTTCCATCGAACTCGAAATACTTATCCTTCTCTGGTATCGGCGTCTTTTATTTAAACAGGGTTGCCTCACAAGATCTATAATTACAATAGCATTTAGATATTATCAGTTTTAACACTTTTCCAAGAATATAGTACCTACTTAAAACACAATATTTATCATTATATTCCATGATCAACAAAAAAAACATCACTATTCCATTCTTTTCGCTTTATCAGATGAACGTTCAATAAAATGAACATTTGTAGAATTATTTAACACTTAGCCAACCGAATGGGGAGATCTCCCATTTTCCCCTTAGCCCTTTATTTTGTCTAATATTTCTATTGTTATTTAGTAAGTCTTGAACTAGGGTTATCTGCAATTCAACAAATACTTTTTTTGCTTTATAGAACAAAGTTACCAACAGAATCACTTAAGCGAGTTCAATTAAAGTTAATTAAACAGGTTACAGTTGTACTTTTTAGGCGGTTGCCTAAGTGTTAAGATTGCTTGCCGCTTCGAAAATCACGTGAAATTGGTTGTATTTTAATCGACAGTTAAACACTGAATTCTGTTTAAAAGTTACGTCGTCTGCCGGCGTCGCGTGCAAAGAACCAAGAAACAGATCAGACGTCAGCTGAATCGCGAAGTTATGCATTTCGCGATGATGCAGGTGTTCGCCATCGATAGCGTCAGAATCGACCGTGTCTTCAGTGTCGGGATGCCCCCGAAGACATTGATTGTCCCCGATTTGCTAACCAACAACGAGAGACGCCGTCTGAACAAGCTACTCCAGACATGATGACTAAATTTCGCCGCCTCTGAAAACGATTGTATCGATACGCGAGTGAATAAAGGTGCATTTGTACGTTGAATAAAGCAGACCGAGTTTTTTCTTCGGGGTTGGAACCCGATTGACTCACCCCGATACCGAGGGAGAAAACAACTTCAACTCGATCGGTGAAACAAAGTAATCGTTTCCTTTTTTCTTCTTCTTTTTTTTCGTTGATCTGTTATCCCTTGACGTTTGTGGAATAACGATATAGTGGAAATGGTTTAGAGCTCTGCTCCTGTTATGTTCTTTAACGCTGAGTGGAGAATACTATGTTCCGTAACAAGTACCAGCAAGGACTACTGTCTGTCTTGTACAGCTGCGGATCGTCCCCATTGGAAATATGGGACATGCACGTAAGTTTTTATTGTGAATTCGTGAAATGGAAATTGATACAGTAATGTCGTTGATTTATTGAGTTAGTTCACTGACATTTTGATGGTAACGTGACGGAGAAAGGTTCAAGTTGATGTAACGAATGTTTGAAAATATTTTTCTATTTGAAACTTTAGTATTGAAGAAATCTTTGTTTACTGAAGTGATGATGGCGTTGTGTAAGCAATATGTTTCATTATTAATATCTGTTTGATTCTGAATTTCAATCACTTCTACCTTTACATATATTAAATAAATATGCCATAGGTAAAAGATACTAGAATACATGATTGCTTTCAAGAAATTATTATAAACAATCATAAATATAGGTGTTATAAAATCAGAATAAATAACTGAATTTATAATAAATAGTGCCGGAAAATAGTCATTATGAATGAAAGTAGTCATTGCAGCGTTACGAAATCACTTATTATATCTAATATATACAAGAATCATCATTTTGAGCAGGTGAAGAATGGTTATATTCGAAGGGTGACAGATGAGGAGGTCAAGTCATTGGCCCTGGAAATAGCAGGAACCAACGTGACGACAACTTATATTTTTACCCCTCCGAACCCGAAGAAAGCGCTCGGAATTAGGCTCCCCTTTTTGATCATGATCATCAAGAACATGAAGAAGTATTTCACGTTCGAAATAACAGTAAATTTTTCGTCACTAAATCACTGTCGTCATACTCTTCTTCATTCGCCAAGATTGCCTCAAAGTAAAGATAATTACTTATTGAACAACAAATGAGACTTTTAAACTAAGAAACTTCAATCTTTTATTCAGTGTATAATTATACAAAGATACAATATCACGTATTAACATTCACTTGCGTAATTATTATATTGAAATACTATATTTCTAATTAACACTTCAACACCCGACTATCCGTTTTTATTCTGTAAAGTTGAACAAAGTAGCATGTTTTTTCTATAAACTTTCTTAATTTACAACTCGTAAAATAAAATATTTTTAATGTGATAACCATAATATTGCGTACACTTTTCAAATCGATTGCTTCTCAATATACCGAAACAGAATTAATTTTCATTAAATAATTATATAAAACGTCCGGTATTTGGCGTATTTTATATTCCGTAATTGCTAGATGCTTAAGTGTTAATGAGACAAACTCTTGATAGAATCAGAAACAATACAAGCCAATTTCTTTTTAAAAATATCTACGTTGATAAAGCTATGCGATTTATTAAAGCAATTATCGAAATAATTACTCATTTTTATTCTTGAAACATTGATAAAAAGTGATTTATACCATTTCTGATATCGTTGAATTGATTCATTTTGAAATAAGTGTACTTATCTTAATATATTTTTAAACATTATAGATTTTAGACGACAAAAATATGCATAGGAGATTCCGAATGAGCAATTTCCAAAGTACTACACGCGTTAAACCCTTCTGCACGTCGATGCCGATCGGTCTGTCAGGTGGTTGGAATCAGATTCAATTTAATCTGGCAGACTTCACGCGAAGAGCGTACGGCACAAATTACATTGAGACTACACGCATTCAGATCCACGCGAATTGTCGAATTCGACGTATTTATTTTGCGGACAGGTGAGAACCATTGCTCTATTTTCATTGACAATTTTTACATTAGCGTAATTATGATATTTTCCTTGATATTTGCAATAGATTCATTTACTAATTGGCAAATGGTAAAATTGATGGAAAACAAATAGTGATATATTATTATTTGTAGATAGTATAAGTAGAATAAATTCTAATCAGAACACTGAACATTATACGAGAAACTTATTCTACATTATTGATACACTATAAGGAACAAATAATATTCAGAAAAACTATTTTTGTGTTTTATATGCAAAAGAAATCATAATAAAAAAGACAGTTGACTTAATATGTTTTTAAATTACTATATTACAATAAATTGCAATATAAATTATTCTAGAATTCAAAATTATATTCTGCACTAATTAACGATCGAAAAAACAACCGAGGTTTCCATCAAGATAAAATAATAAATTCACTAATATTAGGTTTTAAATGATTATTTTTGTTGATGATTTTAACTATAATGAGCGCATTTTTCAACAGGCTTTATTCGGAAGACAATCTGCCGGAGGAATTTAAGCTCTTCCTACCGGTTCACCGGAAGAAGTGTGTTAGAGAAGAAGATGTGAAGGGTCGCAAGGAAACGAAAAAACCGGAAAAAGTTGAAGACATTGAGCAGCCGCTATTTGAGGCAACTGGAGAAGCAGAGGATGAAGAAAAACAGAAAAAAGGGATGTCAGAGGAAGAACCAATTGAGGATGAAGCTGCTCCTTCAGATGAAGCAAAAAAAGTTCAAATAAGAGAGGATGAAGAAGAAGATGATGACGAAATTAAACCCGCAGAAATAACGGATTATGAAGTTGAAGATGAAGGTCCTGCTGAAGATGAATTTGAAGAATCTGCGGTCGCTGCGCATGTAACGTCTCCTGGAGAGGTAACAGAAGGGGAAACTGATGCGGAAGAAATAACAGCCGATGAAGGAGGAGAAGAAGAAGAAGAAGAAGAAGAAGAAGAAGAAGAAAAAGAAGAAGAAGAAGAAAATGAAGTTGAACAATGAATACATAATACTCTCATAGTGTAAATATTAATCAATAAAATATTTATTTTTATGCGACTTAATGTTATTTACGGGGATGATATTTTGCCAAAGTTTACAAAGTTTAGTCAAAAGGTGAACGTCGATGAAGTAAAACGGAACTTATTAAATTTATTATTATGAATTGAAGATAAACATTTAAGGAAGACATATCTTTGGTGATTACCTGAAAGATTAAAAAAAATAAGAAAATAATGAAAATAATTTCTTCTTTAATAAGATATATGGAATTATCTTCTTATATATAATTATGTTTAACATTGATTTCTCGAATTAAAAATGTACAATGCTATTCAAAAGTTCAGCATCGACTGTGAGAAGGTTTCAAATGTTTGAACATTTTTGTAACATTCGAATTAAAATCATCACTGCAGCAGTGTGGCTGACAGTGTCTTATAATAGAAACATAAAATAAAAGTTTATTCTGTATCTTTTGTTTATCATTATGGAATGTCATAATCATCATCTTCTCTCTTCCGTTTCATGGAATCTTCTATTTCCATTTTAACAGGAGGCATTGTTTGTCCAGATGTGATTTGTATTTTTGGTTTAGAGACTTGTGCTTTTACTGTAGCTGGTCCTGTTGTGGCTAAAAATTTATAAAATTACATCTACCTCTTTTATATTTCTACTAAAAAAACCTGTGTCTTACATATTTGGGGTCTCAGTGAAATGTGGATGGAAGGAATGAATGTTTGGGAATGCAGGATTCTGTAGGAATCTATGAATCAAGAGGTTTCAAGATTTCAGTTTATATTAAATTTTAGTTATATAAGTGACTTACCTGTTGAAAATTTTAAAACAGGCTTTGGTATTGAAATTGTTTGGGTTCTAGCAACTGTTGCAAGTGTACCTGGTCTTTTAACAATGGAAAGACCAGTTTTGTTTCCTTCCACCTTAATCTTTGATTGACCACCTTGAATGTTATTTCCTACTAATGAATGCAACGGTTTTCCTACTACCTTTTTTGTTGCATTCTTTAATTTATAATTTGTTGCATTTAAGCAATATCGATCAGGTGGTAGCCTCAAGCCATTACTTGGTTTTACAAACGGTAATGGTATATTATTTTTTGCACGAGCTACATCCAATAATACATCTCTTGGCGGTGGATTTGTAAATGTACGCTCTAGCTGCATTTTAACTGCCAACCTAACATCATCCAAATCGATGAATTTCTTTTTTGCATGATTTGCATAAATTCTACTGTCATCTAATATACAAGTAACATAACCTATAAATTGAAAAAAGGTTATATTATGATTCATTTTAAATAGTATAAATTAATGAATTAATAAAATAGAGTAACAAGTATTTTCAATAATGCATTTACAAAATTAAATAAATCGCAGAAACATAATACGTACGATACGTAAATTCAAGTAACTGATTTATAACCTTCGGTTCGTAATCAGTAATTCCCATATCCTTCATAATAGACATTATAACCTGAGCATCTTTTGGAATATGTTTCACATGGCTCATACTTTTTGTTTTTTCCGCCATTATTGAAATATTATTGTTGATAATGTTATCGTTCTATAAATGGCTTTAAGAACATAGTTACACGTATCTTACACTTAGGTTAGCGTTACAAGTCAAAATCAGATACAAAATTATGAAGTTTCTGCTGCAGTAGTGCCAATTATGAGGATTGAAATTTGCAGAATCAATTCTTTCATACTTTTCCATCTTATTTTAGAAACAATATCTCTGTTATTAAATTTGTTTCATTCCCTTAAATAAAATGAAAACATATGTTTGAAATTGAATAAAATATTTAAAAAATTGCATCATATAGTGTTTGTTTTCTCATGTGTAATATTGGCTGCCATTATAAAAGTTTGTGCCACACTTCAATTGAATTTGTTTGGCGTGTTCATAGCTTGCCATCAAACTGTCTTTTCGAGTTTTTACCGAAAGAATTTGTAGCTTATGAGAACCAATATGAATATTACATCTGCAGGTAAGTGATTTATTTAGACCTTAATATTAAACTGTTTTTTAAATTATATTAATAATATATTTAACAGTAAATTTTCACATAGTGTTTGCACATTGTGCATGCAATGATTTGCAGATCGTGTAAATCATAACCTTTTACTTTAGGTTCGCAATACAAAATATAATTATTTATTTAGTTTAAATGATTATTACTTAACGCCTTATAATTTTTACATTTTTACCTTTCATTTGAACATATTATTTGATAGATGTTTTTATTTAAATTTAATATATAATGTTTATTGTTTCAGCGGGTATTATCTCCCTTCTTGAGGAGCCAATGCCGGAATTGAAGGTATTTGCTTTGAAAAAGTTGGATATGATTGTGGATGAATTTTGGCCCGAGATATCTGAGGCTATAGAAAAAATGTATGTAATTCAAATATCAAGTTGTTTATATTTATACATCTTTCTTTTTATTTAAAAATGAATTTTCATATCCCTAGTGAAATTCTTCATGAAGATAAGGCATTTCCTCAACATGATTTAGCTGCATTAGTTGCTAGCAAAGTATATTATCATTTAGGAAGTTTTGAAGATTCTCTTACCTATGCTTTGGGAGCTGGAGAACTCTTTGATGTCAATGCTCGTAATGAATATGTGGATACTACTATCGGTACAAGCTTTGAGAACTTGGATTATGAATAATAATTAAGTTTATGAAATTTAGTATATTCCTGTTCATTTTATTTCAGCTAAATGTATTGATTATTATACTCAACAACGGGTTTTGGAAGCTGAAGGGAAGCTACCACCAGGTAGCAAAGGTATTGACCCAAGATTGGAAGGGATTGTGAACAGAATGTTTCAACGGTGTTTGGATGATAATCAATATAGGCAAGCTTTAGGTCTTGCCCTTGAAACAAGAAGAATGGATGTTTTTGAAGCTGCAATTATGCAGTCGGTAAGAAAATATAAGCTAATTTATAAGTTACAAGTAATATCAACATTTTATATTTATTCCTATATTTATCTTTACTTTAGGATGATGTGAGTGGCATGTTGTCCTATGCTTTCCAAGTGGTCATGAGTCTTATCCAGAATCGTGGTTTTCGTAATACTGTACTTCGCTGCCTAGTGAGCCTTTATCGTAACTTAGGAACGCCAGACTATGTTAATATGTGTCAGTGTTTGATATTTCTTGACGATCCACTAGCCGTTGCTGAACTGTTAGATAGACTGAGTAAAGGCTCACAAGATTGTGTTCTTATGGCCTATCAAATTGCATTTGATTTATATGAATCTGCCACTCAACAATTCCTTGGATGTGTCTTACAAGCTCTTAGAGCAACAGCACCCATTCCAGGAGCTCTTATGGTTAAACCAATTGTGAAACCAGCTGTAAAAGTAGCTGCGGATGCTACTGCAGATTCTAATACTATGGAAACTGAAACCAGTACACCTGTTCCAGAAGATAAAGCCGAACGTAGCGTTGAGAGTTTGGTAAACGATACTGTTTATTAAATACAAGTATTGTATCTAACACTTGATTAACTTTGATTTTCTATTTAGAATGCAGAAGAGCGTGAGCAACAGGAGCGCGTGGATGCTCTGTCGAGTATTCTAGGAGGAGAAATTTCTATTGATTTGCATTTACAATTCTTAATTCGTAGTAATCATACGGATATGTTAATATTGAAAAACACTAAAGATGCTATAAGAGTTTCTATTTGTCATACTGCCACTGTAATTGCCAATGCATATATGCACTCAGGAACAACTAGTGACCAATTTTTGAGGTAACTAACCTATTAATTATTTCTTTCTTTTATAATAAAAGTGTCATACTTTGTAATTAGGAGTTATTTTGGAACATCAATGACCTAGATGAATGTAACGTTTCAGGGATAATTTAGAATGGTTGGCTAGAGCCACAAATTGGGCCAAGTTAACTGCAACAGCGTCTTTGGGAGTGATTCATAGAGGTCACGAACAAGAAGCTTTAGCATTAATGCAATCCTACCTTCCACGAGACACAGGTGCTGGAGCTGGTTACTCAGAGGGAGGTGGTTTATATGCGCTAGGACTTATTCATGCGAATCACGGTGCAGCCATAACAGATTACTTACTTGGTCAGCTGAAAGACGCACAGAACGAGGCAAGTTTATGATATTGTTTATTTTTTTCACGTTGAAGAAATTTAACGATACAGTACATTTTCATAACATATAATATGTTTTTTGCGCAGATGGTTCGTCATGGAGGTTGTTTGGGGTTAGGCTTAGCAGCGATGGGATCGCACAGGCAAGATGTGTATGAACAATTAAAATTCAATCTTTATCAAGATGATGCTGTTACTGGCGAAGCAGCAGGCATTGCTATGGGCATGGTCATGCTGGGATCTAAATCTACCCAGGCGATAGAGGACATGGTTGCGGTGAGTAAAAGAATACATATTTTTTATGAATTACCTTATAAAGATAATATTCAAGCGGGAGACAACCGAAGATCAATTGTTATAACGTATTATAAATAGTGCATAATATTGTGGTGGGACAAATTGAATGAATAGACATAATTTTTTTCTTTTGAATATTATAATTTTTTTCAAGTAGAATGTAACTTTTTTAGTTACAAAATTTTATAGTATATTCAAGAATAAATTCAATTGCGTGTAATGTTCATATTTTTAAATCTGTGTGTATTTAAATGTTTGAAGTAAAGGTATACTACAATAAGGATATTAAAAATTAAAAAATGTTGAGTACATAACAGTGTAATTTATACAGTTAGTACTAGTTCACTAAAATTGTACTCAACTGAAGAATTTAACTATAAACTGAATGAACTTCAGTTGCGCGGTAATATAAATTAATTACAAAAGACAGTTAATTTAAATAGTTTATTTCACATTAGTCATTATGTACATTATAATTAAAAACTAAAAATGTACTATTAATGCGCTACTGTATAAGGTGGTTGTCCGCCGGTTTTAAAGTCATAAGAGCCTCGCGCACTGTAACGTAGAGAAAAAATATAAATTAATCAAATTTAGTATATAAAATAGATATAAAATCATACAGTAGTAATCATTGTAGTAAATTATGGTTTACCGTGAGTCGAGGTTGGGACCACCCATATATGCTGTTGCACCACCCTTTTGTGGAGTTCCAGGGAAAGCCTTCGTGTTTGTAATAGATTCACTGTAGTATTCATAGCTTCGACTATGAGCACAACCACCTATTTAATAAAATAGATTTTCTATTGTTTTATTACACTGTATTATAGTATAGATTTATATATACTAGAAATTAGAATTTATATATATAACGACAATTCCTTAAGCAGCATATATATAGCCTTGTCAGTAGATTGTGGATCTATATGCAAATTTTAATTTCTAAGAATATAGTTAGAAAAACAGAGTTACGATCGAAAATTATTTTTCCTAATGAACACTATAAAAATCACTATGCTTTGGATGTGTTATATATTTTTTTTTAATTGTGTGCATTTTGTGTGATTTCACACTTTTAAATTTTACATAAGTACATAAAAATCTGCAACCATTTTCAATAACTAAATTCGAAGAATAAAATAAACAGGCAATATTCATTGGGTTGTAACTATTAAATTTCTTTAATTCTTGAAAAACGAAGTTTTGAGCTTAATATCTCACATTACTATTTTTTTTCCGTTTCCTATCGATCTTGAAGACATAGATGATTATAAATATTTCTTTAAATGTTCTAGATAAAATTAATGATAATTTAAATATTTTGTAATTGATGGAAAGACTTAAACACTGTGCCTGGAACTTATGAATAATGTGGGTTTTACTAAAAACACATTTTAAAATCTATAAATACCATATTACGATCGTAATTGATAAAAAGCTTCCCCTTTAAGTTTTCTAAAGTTAACAGTCCCTACCAATGATGTTAATTAACAAGAGAAGGTTTACTGTCCCTAATTAATTTACAATCCAAACTAAATTTGATAGCAGTTTCTCAATACATACAACTAACACTTAAGCCGTTAATAAATTGCAATTGCTAAATGAAGTTGATTCTTACCAAGCATATCGTTATTACATCCTGGCTGATTTCTTCCTCCATTGGCGTAGAAGTCGGAAGTGCCAACGGCAGAACGCATGCCCAATAAACCGGCACACGTGTGAATAATTTGAACGTTTTTCGCGTGGCTGCGATCTATTCTGCTGTTAGCGTTATTATCTTCGAACATCGGTTTGGCCGGATCGAGTCCTGCAATTAAAAATATTTAAAGATCAGTCTAATTGTCATGGCGACATCATCCTTCTATCACGAGGAAAAAAGAAAACATTAAATAAATTTTATTCGTCCTTCATTTTTAGAAAGATGGTTAAGATTACAAGTGGACACTAGTAAATAATAAAGTTATTACTATCTTTAAAGATAAAATAAGACACTATGCTCTGTTAATAACAGTTAATCTTCAGATTAAATGCAAACTTACGATATTAATGATAAAGCAGCTCTAATCAACACAACTGCGAAAGAAATCATAAGGCAAGGGATTAACATTATCCGGTATTAAGTACTATGGTCTGATCGTGCAGAGATCACATTTTTATTGCACGTGTGCGACGAACAAATAGAAGAATCAGGAATCTATAAGCTTTGCTATCTACATTTGCCAATGTTTTACCTCGTATCTACGAAATTTCGATTTAAGAATTTATCACACTTTTGTACTTCATAAATTCATAAACGCTGTCTGCTTATGATTATGAGACTATCGTTAAACCATGAAAAGTAGTTATATAACTTTAACCACGTTAAGGTGGTTAATATTCAGAAACTTTTTCATTTCTTCATCCTCTGTTAGTGATCCTTTTTCCAACCATTACTTGTACTCTAGATTATATCGTTAAATGCTAAATGTTCAAGTCCACTAGTGTCCAGAAAAAATTCCAAAGTTCGAGGATGGTGCTTCGTTTCCACCCATTCCCACTTCCGCTCCACTTTGTCACGTTTATGGACAGAAAACACAGTGCAAAGAAAGATAAAAGGTGTCCCATTCGCGGACAGCATCAGTGCAATGTACAACCCGTCTCATTTTTCTTCTCGAGCACAGTATCATTCGTCCTAAGAACTCTACGCCGGATTCTCAAATGCGCACCACTTGAGCACAATGTAAATTCCCTCGAAATGTCTCCGCTGAAGGATTCCTCTGCGAGTTTGCCGAATACACTTCGAAGCATCACTGCGATCTCAATCCCGTTCATAAAACTCAATAGCGCGTAACTTGCGTCTGGATGAAGGGGCTTTGCAAACAGTGTCGTATGGGCACTGAAATAGCTGTAACTTCGAATCAGAGGAAACCGATGGGAGGTCTTTATATCCATGCGTTGAAAATTATCCTTAACACATTGGCGTTGATGTTATAATTTATGTTTTTGATCATTTGTCGGTGGAATTCTTGTAATTCTTGAAATTATTGAAATTTTCAATAAGCAAATTAATGTTCAACTACATGTCAATCTTTTCTATTTATCAAACTAATTTAACTCCTTGACCTACAGTACCGTATCAGATTCATGACGAAGAATTCAGATAGAATTTACCAGATATAAATGTCACTCAATTCTGTCTTCCTCTTATTTAAATGTCACTAAACATTTCGAGTCCAAACTAAATAATATTTTCCTGTTACCGATTGATCGCTTCAGAGTAAACGTAGACATAAAGCTTAGAATTTTAATCCTTCCCTAACCAATTGTGAGCAATAAAATAATTTTGTCGAGAGTGGTTATGAAAGAAATCATAGTGCAAGGGATTAACGACCTATATATTTGATGGTATGCTGATGTGACATTAAAGTATGAGCCACATAGGCTTCATATATTAGTACTTACCAATCACTTCACTAACTGCACTGGATTTCGACACGATTTGCGCTGTCAGGCTCGCGACGTGTGCACCCAGAGAATGTCCGACCAGTTTCAAGGTGGCGGTCTTTAGGCCCGACTTTGTACGCATGAAATTAACAAAACTTGCCACGTGATTAGCCACTTCCGGCACGCTTTTTGCGACTTGCGAGTACATTAAGTTTTTGGCTATCTGGTTCCAGTCTACCACAATAACGTTGCAGTCTAAGACCTTTAGGAAAGCTGGAACAAATTAATGTTCACATTTTCTTTGAAGAAATACTGGTAGTTGTAAAGAAGAAAATGTTGCTTTCATTACCATCGCGAATTAGAGTGCAAGATGAACCAGTACCAGCGCTTTTCCAGCCATGGGTCACGATGACCGTTGGTTTGTTGCCGTTCCAATTGCTGTTCCAAACGCTGCTGACGTCTGTTTTCAGTTGTTGCCCATTTCGTGGGTTTGCCCTGTAATTAATCGGTTTTACGTATTTTTCAGTTCACGTAAATATGAACATTACGATTTGACGAGGACGTGCAATTAATTTTCTTTTTATATTTAATTTGATGAATCAATTAGAGAAGTTGTGACTTGGTTTTGTTAATTAGTGTATAGAAATGGAAATTTTACAATTAAAGAAATTCATTTGAAGATAGAAATATTGAACGTTGAACATTACAAATTTAGCAAATGTACTTTTTATGTTTAAATATTTTTTATATTTTTAATACATTATTAGAAATATAAAAATACAAAAGTACCTTTGAAAAAATGAGGACCTGACTAGATAAGAAAAAGCTGAGCAAATGAAAACTAAATGCTAAACAAACTGAAATCTGATAGAATGAACTGTGACACAAAGAATGTAGCAATGTTTCATCGGAAAATAAAATTCCACGCTCTTCTCCTTTAAAAACTATAAGACTTGAGTGAGTAATCGAAAATTTTTTCCTAACCGTGTGAAGAGCGTGAAAGTGATGGTTTGCACCTCAGCGGCCAAAACATTAATTTCCTCCAAACTTAGTGGTTGGTAGTCGAGCTTAGTTAGAATCGGCACTCCATTTTCGTCCGGGAGGATCGTGTAATTGCTCTGCATTAGCACGTTGAGCAGGGTAGGGTAAACTGTAAACAAAGTTCGTTAGAATATTATCCATAAGATCTCCCGTAAAACAAATATTGTTCATTAAAATATTAGCTACAGTAACAAGTTCTTTTCTATTTTTCAGTAAAATCAATGTTTCATTCGAAATAATGTGCAATATCGCTATAGTTATTTATGGTAATTTTCAACTTTTCCTGATTTTCATTAAACTGCATTAGAAATATCCGCCTGAAATTTCTCTCGTAATTATGCAACAAAATTAATTAAATACAGACTAAGGAATCAAGATTTTTTATATCGATTGCTCTTCAACTTTTCTGTATCTCGTATATCGAACAAACTTTGATTCACTTGAAGCATCATTAAGAAAATGAATGAATCTTATACAAATACTTGTTTATTCGATTGACGTGGCACTCGAAGAGTTAATAACACTACAGATCAATAAATATTTACTTAATTTCTTTTGATGAAGATTCTCAGTTCAATTCTACAAAGAACAATGTTAGTACTACTGTCGATATTTCATTTTCAAAAAGAATATATTAATAGTAGTAAAAAGTTTTTTTCGATTTATCAGTAAAATTAAAGTTTTATTCGAAATAACATGCAAATGCTTTATCATCAAAATAATTGCTGTTGTTATTTATCACATTTCAGATAGATATCATTGACGTTTACAGATATTATAGCATTGAGATAGATATTCAGTTATTTTGATTTAATGAATTCTAGTCAACTGAAGCTCGTCGAAAAGAACTTTTAGCTGTACCTAATATTTGTCAAAAAATAATATGTATATTTTGATACGAACGCAACGCTAACGGAGCCGGTGCGACCATTGTCACTTTCGCTGCTCGATGATCACTCCGCACTATGGAATTCCCGCGCTTCCTAACTAGCCCGACTCGATGCTGCTTCTTTTATAGGTTTTATGGAAACAATGGTAAACCACTCGAGTACTATACTGTTGATAAGTTGCTGATACACGGTCGATGGGCGGCTTCTGGTTTGCACTGTCAGATCAGTTATTAGTTCTCAATCAAATACCTTACGATCTATGGATTGCGAAATCGGTGAATGTTTTCGATACTCTTCGAGCAACTCTTTACATCGTGTGTTTTTATTTATAAGTAGATCATGGATCTTTATATATATACAAATTTAAATATTTGGGAACGTGATTAGAAAAATTGAATTCTGGTAGAGAATAGTTTCCCTAAAAAATTTAAATGTTTGGGAACATAATTAGAAAAATTGATTTCTGATAGAAAATACTTTTTCTTAAAAGATATTATAGAAAGCGCTACACTTTGGATATTTTCTATATTTCTTTCGTACGCAGATAAAAATCCGCAGGCTATTTATAACGTGAATGTCGTTGTCTCCGTAAGTCTTATGTACATACGGCGCCTAATAGTAGTCGAAACATTATGAGATAAAAAATTTGATAGAATTAAATGTTTGTTGGTTTCTCTTTCGATTTATTGGAATCGTTCAAGAAAGAAAAGTGAATTTCATTTAATTAGATTTTCATTTTAATTAGAGTATTTAAGAATATTGGGATCGTTTTATCGTACTTGTTCAACCGTAAGAATTCTTGTTTTACAATTTTTTTAATGGATTAAGTAATTCTATTACAATTAAAATTAATTAATCGCTCTCGCGTTAATAAATCTATAGGAAAAACATACATTTCTTGTTTAACCCCGGTTTTTCTAAATTAATTCACAAGAGTTTATATTTATATAAAATATAATTTCTTCGAGATCGAAAACTCAAAAATATTGTATACTTCGGAGATATTCATGAATCAGAACGATTTATAAGTATTTATTTTTAACGTATTGCGAATAGAATTGAAGACCTTAAAAGATCGAGCATACAAAAGGCAGAATAGAATGAAAAATGTGAGATAAAAGAATTATTTTCGGATTAAATTCGAAATTCTATAAGCTTAATTATGAGTAATTCAATTATATCCATGAAATACTTAACTTTTTCGTATTACGAATATATACACATCAAGAAACAAAAAACTTACTGCAAATACAAAAATAAAGATGAAATTTTGAATATTTCCACATTAATATTATTCACATCTTTACGAAAACAACGTAATTAAATTCTTAATATTTTTATACTAATAAAACAATTTACCAAATAATTTACAGAACTTTAAGAAGCAACATTAGTAGAATACGTAAAATTAAAACTAAAAATAAAATACGAAAGAGTTATAAAAAGTTTAAAACGGAAGTTCTTAAAGAAATATTTACCAAACTTGCTCTCCGCGCCTTTCTACAGCGTAAAGTTCTTGCAATCACGGTTTACTAAGAATTTCTCGACTTCTCAGAAATTTCAGCGTTTTCGTCGTTTTAATTTCACTTATATCCGTGCTGTTTTACATATTAATCTTTAATCTTGTATGAACAGATGCTTAGTGCTTATATTTATTAAATCTATTGTGACGTGAAACGTTCATTCGAGCAGAATGTTAAGTCGATCGACGAGTTACATAATTCGGGTAACTAACATTCACGTGATTAATGTGAAATATTTTCGATGGAACTCAATCTACGCGAAGGTTTGCAATTACATTCTGTGGAATTCTTTTTTTCCGTTTCGCTTTTATTTATTATGAATCGCGTTGCGTCAATCAGCTCTCGCCGATTCGTGATTTACATTCCGCGATATCGTGCAATAATTGAAGCTAGCGGTGCAACGTTGTTTTTAACGACGTTGCAATCCCATTATAAAAATAACAGTAGGACGTTGAAAGCCTGGCATTACACGCTTAATCCTTCGATTTTCTTTTTCTCTTCGGTTGCTTTAGAGAAAATCGTGACAGTCGTTATCTCTTTTATCGAACTTGATCGGACGACTGATAGATTAGGCGATTCTTAGGTACATATATTAAGCCATTATCAAACTAGTACTCGAGAAATACGTTTTTGTCTCGAACACGTTGCGGTGTGTATTATTAATTGACTCTTAGGTCGATTAAATTTTACGCAAACCAATTGAATGCTAATTTTTCCGCGTTAATCAAGAGGAATTTATGCGAGGCAACAGTTTAATTCTTCTATTAAGTGGTTTATTAGGGTCGAAGTAAAATAAGTAACTTAATACTTCTTTAAATTTGTTATTATTCTAAGCTTATTATTTTATTTTAAAAATTTAATTAACCCTTAAGCATTAGATCACCTTTTAGAGAAAAGTTATGGTATTTTAATATTATTTTCGGGTTTTCTATATTATTAATTTTAAACATTCGTTACGATGTTTGTTGCAAGTATAAGAGTGAATATTTATATTTGTACAGAATAAAGAATTTTTTTCTGATTTTTACTTAATAGGAAAATATTTCTTAATGAAGCAAAGGATATATGTTTATATGAGATACATAATTTATTTCTGTGCAAAGAATTCACAGTTTTCGTTTCTTTTAATTACATTACTGCTTCTGGCACTGCAAACAGTTATTGTGTCAATTATAAATTTACATAGTATGCACGACTTTTATAACAATACAATTAACAAAATGTTTTGTATTCCATTCTTTTTTACCAATATATTCGATCGTACATATTTGCAAGAAGCATATTGGTTCATTCATTTTCAAATGATGACAATATGACAAATATGAGTGGTAACGTATTTCAAATTCGATTGATGAATTTTTATTTCTATTATCGTGTACCGTATGACTTGTTTTATAGTTCACGAGCAATGCTGCACCATTTCTTATAACTGAACTGCAGATTATACAACTCATAGCACGCGCGACTGTGTACAATGCAACAAGAAGAATAAATTAAGCAGAAGGTCTAATAAAAAAAGTTTTACCAATAAAAAGTTATTTTTATCTTCTCGGAACTCTTTATTAAAAGATAAACACTGTCGCTCATCGTATCTCTTCCCTATCGAAAATACATACACTCTTTTCCATATTCAATTTCACTTCGGAAACTCACAAGTAACGATCATAAACTTTTCACTTACCTTATGGCCAGACTGCGAATCTTTATGCAAATAAAAATTGTTAATAATATGATTAGAAAACTCGGACCACGATATAAAATTTTTTTTTCCCAGTAAACATTATAAATAGTATTACACTTTGGATATTTTATGTATTTTCTCTTATCGCGCGCATTCTTTGTTGTTTTGCACTTGAAAAACTTCTGTAAATATATGAAAATCCACAGTCTACCTATGCGTCTTATTAATGGGTTATATATTCTGTGAATTTTGTGAATAAAAACTTTCGGCTGAGAACTAATCAACCAAAACACATATACTGACTGCTGATTAGCACTTAACCTGTTAACTGTAGAATTGAGTTTGAAAAATCTCTCGTTTTGCACGCAATAAAATTAAAAAATGAGGTGTGTTCTCGCCAAACGCAGGACGAATTCACCTAATTTTCATGAAAAACCAAAGAAAAATAAAGGAGATATACATCTTTATCTGAAAAAATGAAAAATTTATCGTTGAAAAATTAGTACATTTTCAAGCTTTAAGATGACGCGTATACCCGCTAAACACAATTAACTGGTTAACCTGTCAGCTATAAGCAAAGATCCCCGCGTGGTACGATTTTCCTTTATCTAAGCGTTTTCTAGCTTTTAGAAAAGTCGTTTTCCAGCAATTTAAATTGTTCGTAGTACCTATGTATACCATTCGGGACAAAAGGGTTAATGGAAAGTAAGAACGAGTGCGGAACGTGACGGGACGCCCGATTTTTCAACGTAACGTGTAATATTTCGCGGATAGTCGGCACGGGCGCATAATCTTCGTCCATTTATTTGCGAAATTCCCGACTTGTCCGCGGTGCAACGGCCTCCACAGTCTCCCCGTATTTCTTCGCGAGACGATTACCCTCGAGGAACAACGAAATCCACTTACCGCCACCGGAAAAATAGGTACAGGACAAACTGCTTCGCTTTGTCAGGACTGTTCCACCTGTCCGGAGCTCAGGTGGATTTCGTTTCGATGAGTTTCCGTCGCGGACGAGTCACCGCTGCGCGCCATCGCGCCGGGCAGCTTCTCCATTGTCTCGTTTCTTTTCATCTCGGTGTTACCGTCAATGAAACACGATAATAGGGATAATACAATACACCTGATCCCCGTTTTATGCGGACATGTTTTACGCGGTAAATTAGACCACTATTTACGCGGTAGTTCTTACACACGATCTTAACCCCTTGACATACAATATCGTGTCACACTCTTGGTGAACTCCTCAAACTGAAATTAACGACTGAATTTCAGGTTTCTTTAGTTCAAATTAAATATTATATTTCTGTTGTCGATGGTTACACTATAAAGTAGACGTAGATATAGATGAATGAGGAGTTTTTTAGTTTTCATTTATTTACTTGTTGGTAATATACTGCTTGACATACCAGTTTATTACAAATGGTTGAGTTAAATGTCACATCATATAGATAAAGAGTGATTTTCAAGTGTATTGCATGCACAGTAAATAAATTTTTTTTACAAAATATATCTATTAATAGTTTGTTACTTTTTCGCGATAATAATATCACGTGTATCACGGTCTGACGTGAATGTTATGTTTGAATGTAGGTATAGCTACATGAATTTTTACAATTAACATGGTAAATAAAGTTTCTAAACTCAAAAGAATTTATCATAATCTGTACCAGATTAAAACTGAAGTTCATAAAACTGAGTATTTAACGTAACAAATTTTTTATTCATTAATCTGCTAATTCATTTAAAATTTAATCTCTTCGTGGTAAATAAAACACGTTATCCAAACAAAACGTTTATTAAGAGTATTTATTAAATTATTATGATTAAACTTTATTCATTTAAAATTATATTTTTATAATATAATATTCTATAATACTGCAAGGAGTTACTTATCCTATGATTCCTTTCAGAACGCTCCTTGATAAAACCACGTCATCTTCAATAATTTAGTAGAAAAAGAAAAGAATTCAATGATTACTCTACGTTTACTCTAAAGTTTAAAGATTAATAATGGAAAAGTAATATCTCATTTATCCGAAAAATAAATAAAGAACATTTAGATTCATCGAGTTCGGTTGGCAATGTTCATCATGAGTCTGACTCGGTATTATATAAGAAGCGGTTAACACTAAACGTACTGGCACTTTAACTACCGATCACATTTTTGTAAAAGGTATGTAGTTCGTGATTGTTGATTTAATACGGAAACAATGCACAAAATAACTTTTGTATAATTAAAAAAAAATTGTATATTTTCATTTGTTCTTAACGAAAACAGAGAACTATAGATGCATTCTGTTATTTGGTTGTACTGGTCAATTACCTAGGCGCGGTACGTTTAATGTTAATCAAATTTTCCGTCAGAACGCGGGCGAATAATGCATGAATGGCGCGTGTTGCCATCGTAAACTTCTACATCCTGTCCTTTACACTTTTCTTTTTTTTCTTATTCCAGTACGCCCAAGAAACGCAGCACGAGAAGATCCTTCGTGGATTGGCGGTGGGCATTGCGTTCACCATGTACGGTCGCCTCGAGGAAGCCGACCCATTGCTGACCTCTCTCTGCGCCGATAAAGATCCGATACTTCGCAGAAGCGGCATGTATACCCTCGCGATGGCCTATTGCGGCACTGGAAACAATCAAGCCATCCGGAAGCTGCTGCACGTTGCCGTGAGTATTCATCAATGAATTTTGTGCCGCGGCGTCACGTGACAGTTCGACGCTTAACACTTTGACTGCCACGTCACCCGAATTCAAGAGACACAAAATTTAAATGATTTATATGAATAAAAACAAACTACACAAACAAAAAACGAAAGTAACTTATTATACGTATAATTTGAATATTTATTTTCCTAGCCTTTTCATTGGCAAACTGTTTATTAGTATTACACGTATTTGTATTATTAACACTAAAACTACCGAGCACTGGAATTAACTTTTGACATTTTTCTATAGAAACTTCCAGAGTGCATCTATTAAGACTTTAATTGATTTACAATTTAGTTTGCGCGTTGCTAAGTCAATTTCTTTAATAATTTCTCGAAGAAACATCTGTTATCTGTTTAATAATTGCGAAAGGAAGAAATCAGGAATGAGTGATTTTGAATGGTATGGTAGTTTTAACGTGAAACATTTTTTTTGTTGGTAACGCATTGAACGAATCGAATTCTGTTGGAAATATGAGATGTTAGAAAGACAGTAGAGCAGACGTTACGAAGAATTTTTACTTTTTAGGTTCTGCTTTATTAAGCAAACTGTTTTATACGAATTTTAATGAGTTTTTACTTGGCAGTGAAAGTATTAAGGGGAGCACCACCTATAGACGTCCTAAATATAGATAAATTTTAGGAATTTTTTTGTTAACTATTAAGTGAAACTTTCTGATTTTTTCTGGGTGCACAACTGTAACCTTCTATTTTGTATTTATATTTTTTCTAAGTCAAAATGTTGCAAATTGGCGCAGTTAATCGTTAGTTTTGCAACTCCTTCTTGTAAAACATCCATGTTGGCCGACTTGATTGCAAACGACTGAAACATCCGAAGACAAACATTTTGGTGGATTTATAAATAGAAATATATTATGTAAAATATAGCTTTTAAATAACCTTATACGATAAGATTATACGATTCTTAAATTAGAGTATTTGTCGATAAGAATATTCTATTCTTAATTTAGACTATTTTTCAATAAGAATATTCAATTCTTAATTCAGATCATTTTTTCGGCATTCATTAAAGTTCGACAGTTAGAAAAATCGCAGAATAAACCATCATAAGTCTTTTTTGTCCGAAAACACTCGTAAATCCAATACGGTAAAGTCATACTTTGATAAAAAATTTAATTAAGATTTCCATACGAGCTTCGCCTTGAGGGAGTGTTTTCTGTTATCGTTGGGAATGGAAAAACGGCACACTTCTACTCCTTTAGAGTGAAAATCAACTTTGAAAATTAGCAAATAGTCATTCACGAGGTTTTGAATGGTAATCAGTTGTCAACAGTAATCAGTTGTACTTGAGATTTTAAATCACTCAAGTATTCTGTTAACCATTCATCGATCTAAGCGCTATGGAATTTCATTCAAAAGCACTCAGCAGTAAATAAAAAATGCATTCAAGCAATCAAAAATCAACAATTCCTGCGGTGGTGCTATGTGATCTTATTTGAAATACTTTGTAAGTAAGATTTGTTGATCAGTGAATATAATAAATCGATTTAACTGGAATACTGACTGCAATAATTAAATTAAATTAATAATAATTATAATAACTAAATAACTGTTGATTATAATAATTAATTCACTAATTCACGAACATAAATGATAGTAACTTTTTAATCAATTAATTCCAACGGATGAGCATAAGATTTATGACTTTGTAACGGTTCAAGAAGAAATCCACGCGACTATCCGCGACGTGAACACCAGCGATGTTTGCGCTACTAAATACACAATTATACTACACAAGGAAAAGAAGCCTTTATTTATTCGCAATGAGTGTTCATTCTTCCGTTCCGGTAGCCACGAACACCCATGACATTCTATCGAAATCGATGTCGTAGATTGCGACGCGTTATCAAATTTACACCGGAGATTAAATTATCAGAATATTAATACGCACAGATAACGTGCATGTGATGAGTGTGGTGGATTGGATAAGTCCTTGATATGAGCACAGTGGTTTCTGCACTTAAGAATGTAAACAAAAGAAAATTGATACGCACTTGATGTTCGTTTGATCTTAATGAAACGTTGAGGGTTATTGTTTTGATAGATTCGCGTAATAAAAAATATTTGATACGAGAAGAATGAAAAGTTAAAAAAATGATAGATGTAATAATAAAAATTAATTTTTAATCAGTTTATGTCGTATACAATGAAATTAGATTTTCTTTTTCATCTGATCAAGTAATCCTCATGAGTGTGATTGCTCAAGAAATCGTATGACGAAAGATTGATAAGTTACCAAGAGAGTTATAGACTTTTAACAGAATTCGAAAGTGTTTTAATTGAAAATCTTTAGAGAAGTGAAGTAATTATACATATATTTATTTGGAATAAGTTACTGAAGTTCTTCATTGATTTTACATTAATTTTCTTTACTTTAAAAACTTATATCTATAGACTAGGCTTATAGATGCTTAATTATTAATTTCTGAGTTGATTTTTAACTTAATTTTTAACTTAGATATTAATAATTAAGTGTCTGTGAGGGTAGTTTACACGTACAAGTTTTTAAAGCAAATAAAACTGATCTAATGTCAACGAAGAACTTCTGTTTAGATGATTCCTTATTTTTGTAATAATGCAAATTTTTTTGGTCTAGGTTTCCGATGTGAATGATGACGTCAGGCGAGCTGCAGTCACTGGTCTAGGATTCCTCCTGTTCAGGTGAGTGTCTTTAAAGAATATTAATTAACAGTTAAAACGCACTGATCTGCAATACCAATATTTTTTAAAAGCATTGTAAATTTTATATTATTGCCTTTTGTAAATAAATAAATAAACAGGTAAGTAGTATAAAATATATAAGTAATAAATGTATAAGTGATATAAATAAGTAAGTAGATCATTATTACCAGATATTACTGTCTACTAATAAAATAAGTCACTTTTTAATCCTTTAGAACACAGGATTTTAAGACAAAAATATTCTAATTGTACAAAAGATTTATTTCAAAGTAAGTACTTATAATAAAGTTGGTGTGTTTTATTTATAAACCACAGTGTTGCAAAGTATCTTAATATTTAATGATAGGATAAAAAACATCGAATTGTGCATATAAATATAAGTATTAAAAAGTTACTAAAAGTTATTTGATGGTTGGCGTTGCACGTGACTTAATTCAATCAATTGCTATCAGTTGTTGTCACACAAACGTGACTTAGCAATTCCGAGGTGGACTACCTAAATTAAAATATCGATTTTTGGCACACAACGTGTAACAAAAGATTCTTTATAATAACGAAATGAAGTTATCGATGTATTTTATTATTGATAAATATTTAATAAAAAATGTTGATGTTAATTATTATTTTATGATTTGAAATCGTTACACCAGGTAACATTTATACATTCGTATAATAAAATGAATAATATGTTACTTTGTTTTGAAATATTTTACTTTACTTTTTTTATTTTTTAAAATCAAGATAAGCAAAACTTCTTCGGATCTAATGTATCTATATAGATTATCTATCTATTTATTATGATTAGATTAATTGAAAGCTTTGTTTATCTGGATTTTTAAAGATATAAGTTATATAAAAAAATTGCATTATTTATGCAATGACCTAATATTTGTACCGTCTCGAATATACGAGGTTTTGATCCTACCAACTTGATACTTGCAAATGAACTAGCCCGTCTGTTTATGGGAAGCATTATGGAAAAATTTAAAGAAAAGAAGCTACCAACTTTTCGTATTTATATGTTAATATCCACGTTGAACATTCGCCGGTATCTGTTTGTAATTTATTACTGTTTCTATGAAACAAAAGAAGATAGTTAACGTTTATTTACTATCGACTAAAAATTCTGGTTTCACTGTTATAAGCTTAAAAAACATTCAGTTTCTCATTGTCGAATAATTACTTTATTTTCCTTTGTGCCCTTTATGTATGCAAAATTTGTATAATCGAAACATTACATGTTTCATGGAAATGATTGATTTTTAAATCCTTTTCATTCTTTTGCATTAAGTAATAGATATTATGTGCAATTTTTATAGTTGCTGTTGCGTACACTCAAACTCAGAACGTATTACGAATATCTAACACTTTTTTTCATTGCGCGAATAAATTGAATTACTTAGTAAATTATAAATAAATTAATTTTATTCGAAAAAGGTGTTGATAAATTTTATTCGATATATTTGTTCGAAAAACTATTCATGCATTTTATTCCAAATATTTAATCAGAAGAATGTTGATCAATTTTAACCAAAATATTTAATAGAAAAGATGCTGGTTATTTTATTAAAAAAATTATTCATAAATTTTATTCGAATATTATTGACGTTCGAAATTTATAAAAATTTTCAATTTTATAGAAAAATTGATGATACTGTGAGAAAATGAAACTGCATTCAATTCCATAATACAACACCAAAATGAAACAAACATTGAAACACTGAAAACTGTTTACTTTCGAAAATTCTGACACTATCAGTGCAGATTTTGAACGTCAGATAATCCCAATGTTCGTTGATTGTTAGCAATCCGTCGATCGTCTAAATAAACATGTTTGAAAATTATAGTACCTGTGCGACTTAATAATACTCATTAATCATTTTGCTCGATAATGCAATGAACAAGCAAGACACTTTGCGTCGCGATCTTTGATTAAGCTTTCCTTCCAAGAGGATTCGCAGTGCTTATTTTATCTTTTTCAAAACGCGCAGTTTCATTTAGAAGCGTACTTGTTTTCCAATTATCATGAGGATTGCGGAATAGGAAACACAAATGTCGGAAACGAAAATAGATCTCATTGTATTTCCTTTTGTTTTTAGTTGAATGAATATAATTGGTAAACTGTGGATTTTTATACGAATGGAAGATCCGGTAAAATTTAATTGATTTTGTATGCAATTCTGTAGAATATCGTAAAATTTTGTGGAGTTTTATAGATTTCTACAAATTTTTAGACTTTTACGGATTTCCATAGACTTCTATAAACTTCTATAGAATTTTTTTGGAATTCAACAGAATTATATTAACTTTATAGAAAGTTATCTGACTTTTATAGATTTCTAGAAACTTCTGTTGACTTTTGTACTTTTTCACTTATTGTTAGATTTATTTATTCTTCGAGTTGTACATTTGAGTGTTAGCATCCTATAGCATTATTCGTAGAATACATAAAAAATAATTAGTTATTAAAATTTAATTCTTCTAAGACTGATGGAAAAATATATTGCAACTTATCTTCTACGATTGCTGTGGTATTTACTCCAAATACAATTATTCACTTTTAGCTTTTTTTCAGTTTCATTTGATTATGGAAAACCAATACTGAGATCCATTGAAACATATAATACTATTGTAAAGAATCAACAGTGTTCGTTACTAAAATATTAATTTAATATAAATATATACGTAAAGTATTCGGATAGTTCAAGTTATAAAACTAGAAGCCTTGCAGTATTTATTTGTTTAATCAGTGTTTTTTCTATTACGTGTCATATGATAAAAAACAATTAGATTTCAAAGATAATTCTGAAATACATTTATGTAGAGTTTTATTATCAATAAAATATATTTCGGCTTCATTCCCAAGTTTTAAGCGTTTCATTTCACGATTTTTAATCGAATATGATACTCTCTTCATACTTATTATATTCGTTACACGTTGATATTTGAAACATTTTTTCTGCCATGTATTTCTGAATATCGAAATCCAATAATTGAAATTAATTTATTGAGTAGCTTCGTTGACCTGAAACCTTCCGAACAATCTTGAACAGTCAGATATCGACGTTAACATAGAAGGCATTGTAATTTAATTATATCTAGTGGATTCTTGATAAAGACATACTGAAATAACTCCCTTCGATCGATTTGATTCACTTGTCAATTAAAGGAACAGAGTTATTCGTCCTTTATTTGGCTCCGTATCTATCAGCCATTTTTCTTTATTCAATTCACTTATTTAAGTTATCTGTAGAATAATAATCTTACAATATTTCAAATGTTATTCATATAAAATTCTTCGTCTGTTACTATTCTTCCTTTCTTTTGGTCTTCTAATTTAATTCATATAGTGTTTTGTTCAGGTAACAAAACTGTACATTAAACGTAAAAATTCATTAGATGCTTTTTCAAAATAAATTTATCAACTATTTAAAAATCTTCGAAATACATACCGTTGAAATTTTCATTTACTTTTGATATTTTCACTTTATTTTTGGAGTAATCAAGGAATCCCTTATCGAAGAAGAGAGGCGGTTTCTATGCAGTGAATTATTTTTCCTTCAAAACTAATTTTTTTTATTAAATTTCCTAATCTCTTCTATTTACAGTGATCGAAAAGGTCATAGATAATTCTGTAAGAAATGACTGAAGACATTGATTTATCGATACCCAAACTCAATTTCAAATGAATAAAAATCTCAATAGACGCACTCTTAGAGTTCCCACAGAAAAATTTCAAAAAGTCAACTCGACTACTTAATAGTTTAGTACCAATTCTATCCCAACTAACAAATATCACCTCTCAAAATAATTTCATGTTCTTCACGTTTAATTTCCATTGAAATCAGAGAACCAAACCTTCGCGTCTCAGGTGAGCGCAATTTCTCCAGCGTAAATGTTCCTCAAGTCCCCAAGAATTTCCGGCTCGCGTCGCATCACTTTTTCGCCGGGTGCGAGCACAGGAAACTTCTTGAATTTTTGGCGCCTGCGCGGGCGGCTCGCGAACCGTTCCCTTCGCGAGAAACTTTTTTAATATGTGGACTTATTGCGTGCCCCTTGAATTTGATCGACAATCGGCGTTCCGGAAGCGCGGGACGGGTCGATAGTTTTCATCTCTCAGAATTTGACGGATTGAAAGTTCCTTTCATTTCGCCGCCGGCTCGTCCAATACCGACCGACCGACCGACTGGCCCGTCGGCGCGGCGTTCTCGTTCCCGCGAATTCACGGTGCAGTTTTCGCGGTCGAGAGCCTCGGCGTTAATCCGGCCCGACGTTTTTCTATTAAACAGAGCACGCCGTAGATCGATCCCGGCCGCGGAACCCCTTTTCAGTCGGCGATCCTTCCGGCAACTCGATAAAACGCTCTGACAATTCCATGTGATCCTCTATTCGGTAGGGGATCGAAATTGCTCTGAAGCGTTTCTGTCTCCCATTCGCACGATTATTCTCGCGAGCGACTCGCGCGAGACGATTTTTGCGAAGCTTAACCCGTTGTTCTGTGATCTCTTTCGCAGTTGTGCTTCGTGAAACTAGTTTGTCGATGATAATTTAGGAGAGAAAGAGAAACGTTTGATTTTTGTTCTGTACTCATGTTTATCCTAAGAATTAACAATTATTTATAAAAAATTTAATTTTAATTTCATTTATATTAAAGAAAAGTGAATAACGTTTAAATTTATCGAGTTAGGTTCAAAATCTTCATCTTCTTTTTCGTACGAACTTAGCTTCCAAGAGTTGAAAATGCATTCTTTCCACCAACAAATCATATCAAGTGTTTAACCGTGTAAATTGATTCTTCCACGAGTGAATTCTCAACAGATTCCTCCTCCCTCATTTTTCTCATCGGTTTATCTCGACGCTCCGCAGGATATAATCCGAATCGACCGCCTCGCACCTTCTAGTTCTTGATCGATCAGCCTTCGAAACGTTCGTTTTCATACTGAACCTTTTGTAGGTCTTTCCCAGTATCGATAAGGTTG